GATAACATTGCGTTGACTACAACAAGCCCCAGAATTCTGAATACCCCACTGAAATCACCAATAAGCATTTACTGGCTCCTACTAGGCATCGGGCACTATGCTAAGTGCCCTTGGGGATGGGTACCCAAAGGAGAAACAGGCAGTCCCTGACTTCAGAGAGCTTACTATCTAATGGGGGAGGAAGACAATGCACAAAGGAGGCTCAAAGGTGAGGAGAGAGGGGTGCCTGAGGGTACCCAGCAAGGGAGTATGATGTGAGTCCAAACCAGCCTGAGGAGCTGATAGGAAATGAAGAGTCAACTGGAAAATTCTGAGCCAGAGAGAGAGAGAGAGAGAGAGAGAGAGAGAGAGAGAGAGAGAGAGAGAGAGAGAGAGGAGAGAGAGGTTTGGAGAGTTTATCATTCCGTACTCCCATCCTTCAGCCCCAAGGGAGAGGCGATGGAGAGTACTGGAGAGGTATCAGTATCAAAGCTGAATCACTCTCTATGCTGGTGAGATTGCAGGTGTTGAAACCTTAAACACTAAGTGAAACCTCTAAGCACTTCAAAGAATTTGAACTATCTATACGAGAAAAACCAAGTGGATGAAGAAGGCCTATTGCCCAGACTATAATATACAGTTGGATGGACAGCCCGTATCTTATGGACAGGTATTGCCCATCAAAGGACAATGAACTGAGCCCAGATTTGAATAGGAAGGCAACAGAAGGATGGATTGCCTTTTGGACACTGCATCAGTCAGTCAATAAGCACTTATTAAGCACCAGGCTTTTAATGATCTCAAGCTGTTTACTGAAACAAAAATCCATTGCTCCCCCCACCCCCAATATTTTTCCAGTGATCAACGGAGAATGACTGGTAAAAGAGGTGGAGACTAATAAGGCTAGGAGATAAAGGGGATAACCAATAGACAGCCTCTGTGCTCCATTGGTATCCCAGCAATGTGCAGAGACTTAGAAGGAGGCCCCAGCAAGCTGAGCAGACCTCCTATAGGAAACTGCCTGGAGAACTGGGATAAAAGGTGCACAGGATGAGAGGGCATGGATGGGTCTCCATTTGCATCTTTGGAAGAAGTACCCATAATAATGAGATTACAGACCCTCCCAAGGTTCTCAAAAGCCAAGGAGGGTGAGTAGAGCAAACCTTATTATATTCTCATGTAATAAATGAAGGAACTGAGGCTAAGTGAATTACCCAGAGTTACAGAGCTAGTGAGCATAGGAGCCAGCAGATCATGGTTGCTCCCTAAAAATTAGGGTGTATAGCAGAGAGAGGAGGCAACAGTGGTATAGAGAGAGGGCTGACTCCCAAAGTCCTCTGACACATACTAATTCTATGATCATGGGCCAGTCACCTAACCTCTGTATCCCTGGGAACTTACTAATGCTCTAAGGCACAGAAAAGTTCCCCATCTCCATTGGTGGAGGGGGTTTCCACAGTGGCTATCAGTTCTCCACACAGATGAAATTATATGTGGGGAATTAATCTCAGCACTCATTCCTCCCCTCTTCCCCCCTCCCTCCCCCCTACTTCTGAGGAAGGACTTTGTATTGGTATAGAGTTTGAAACTTTCGAAGTATATTCCTAGCTATTAACAAGACTTTTGTGTGGGGTGGGGGTAGTGAAGCTGAGATCCTGGAAAGTTTTTGCCTAAAGGCACACAGTTTCCTGACTCGGTCTTCTCACCTAGGGTGTGTGTGTGTGTGTGTGTGTGTTACTGTGACTTTGAGTCAAAACCTTGGATTGGGTATCAGAGGACCCGGGTGGGAATACTCTGACCTTGAACACAGTCTCATTTTCTTCACCTGTAAAATGAGGAGATTAGACCAAGTAAAAAAATCTCTTCTACCTTGGATTCCTATGATCCTTTCTAGAGATCAAATCCCAGACACCTAAAAACAAGCACAGATTTGGGTCGCCCACCAAGCCCCTGGGAAATTCAGAGGAAGAGGACAGGGACTTTGTCAAAGGCAGAGAGCCTGGGTATTTACAAAATAAATAATTTTTTCTTGCCAGAAATCTTGAACAAGAAACGTCCTGTTCGTCTATCAAGGAAATTACAAGCCTGAGCAAATATTATGGTTGCGGTGCATTTATTTTTGATTTAAAAAAATATGCAAATTTGTTTGCAAATTGGGCGCAGCCCTCTGCTTTCTGGCTGGCAGGCAGGGCTTCCCCCATGGCCCAGCGTGGTGGCCTGGCAGGCTGCCCTGTGGCCTGGCTCCCTGCTCTCCCCACCGCTGGCCCAGCCCCCCACCTCTATTCCCACCCTTTCCCCCCTTCCCATGGTCTGCTTCTGTTGAAGCTGGCCTGGACTGGGAGCGAGCAGATGGCAGAATTCTCTCTCATCTCTCCCTGGGTCCAGGGCTGGCACTGGGGCAGGGCCAGGGGACTAGGGAGTCTGGGGCAGGGATTCTTCTCAGCTGAGAATTGTCCCATTTTGCCCCCACCCCACCCTCATCTAGTCTCCACCTCCCACCTCCAGTCCCCCGATGTTGTAAAGAGTACTGCATATTTGGGGTGTGAGGGGGCTTTGGGACCCTAGGGCAGTCAGGCTCTGTGTTATCTGGGCTGTGGTTGTGTGCACGCTTGAGGAATTGTGTTATTGTGAGCTTTCAGGTAAGTCTTTTGAGTTGTGGCTTCCGTGGCTTGTGAGCTGTGTGGAATATAGCCAATGAGGAATTGGGTATGGTGTTCCTGAGCTGCGCTGTTGTAGGGTCTTCAGGCTGGGCACTATCTGTTCCAGAGGACACCAACGGACTTTGGGGTGAGAGGTTTTGGGGTCTTCTTTGTGAGTTCAGTTCTGGGGTCGGAAAGCCTCAGAGGAGTGCGGAAGAGGAGGGCCTTGGGGGAGGGGGAGGGGACATAGGGAATGTTAGGGGCTGCTGTCAGTCCTGTGTGGTACACTGGTGGCTGTCACTGTGACTGCTCTGCCTTGGGGTTCACCAAGTACCCTGGCAGATTGGAGGTGTATCAAAGGGGGGCACCTTTAAAGCAAGGTTTAAAGGCTGGAGGCCAAGTGCTGAACGTCACAGTATGTTCATATTCAACCCCCAAAAGCAAAGAGGTGCCTACTGTGTGCATCGGTCAGGTGTATCTTAAGGACTATGCTATTCTAGGTTGTGGACAGTGCTTGCATCTCTTGCTGTGGGCCTTCTGCGTGTGAGGCGTGTCTACGTGGGGAGATGTTGGGGGTTGTGCTTGCGTTTTTTGTTTTGTTTATTCCGCTCGTGTTGTGGACTAGGTTAAGGGTGGTTTCTTCAGGCTTGCTCTCCGCTGCTGGTGGTGCTAGGTTTTGTCTTGGCTGGGGGAGGGGTGTTGTTTGACCCAGCCTTGGCTCTGGGCTATGATAAGCTTGGGATTGCTCTCTGGTTGTGGGTAGCCAACTTTGCTCCACGTTGCATTAAATCTTGTGTTGCAGGCCAAGTGTTATGCCTTGCTTTTACTTTGTGTTGTTTAGACTTGTGTATCTCCAGCTTTGCTTTGTGTCGTCTGAAGTTGTGCGCCTGGGTCTGGCTGTCTCTTTACTTTGTGTTGCACGTAGTTGTGTGTGTGCGTGTGTGTGTGTGTATGTGTGTATGTATGTTCTCGCTTTGCGTTGCACGCAGTTGTGTGTGTGTCGCCGCGGCGGCTTTTGCTCCTGGTCGTGTGTGTACTGCCCAGCACTGCACACACGCGCGTGCGCGCGCGTACACACACACACACACACACACATACACACGCACACCCAGGGACCCCGCGGGCAGGCGGGCAAGCAGGGAGGCAGGCAGGCAGGAGGGCCGGCCAGCCAGCGCTGCTTTCTCCGGCTCCGCCCGCAGGCAGCAGCAGCAGCGGCAGCAGCAGCCGCTGCAGCAGCCCAGCAGCAGCACCCGGGGCTGGGAGAGGAGGGAGGGGGAGGGGAGGAGAAGGGGCGGGAGGGGAGGGGGAGCTTGAGCCGGGCCGGGCGGACGGGCGGGGAGACGGGGAGGGGGGGCGGCTGTTCCTGGAAGAGCCCAGCCTGGGGAGTTGGTCACATTCTTGGCCCCGATTCAATGACTGAGGCAGACACCAACAAACAGCGCGCGGGCGGGGGAGCAGGGGGCGGGGCGAGCGGCGCGCGCCGGCGGCGGCGGCGGCATGAGCTCAGCGCGAGGCGCTCTCTCAGTCCGAGCCGGAGCGCCGAGGCGAGAGGATGTGTGCTGTGTGCCCGCAGCCCCGCGCCGCCGCCGCCGCCGCCGCCGCCGCTCCCGCCGCCGCCTCCTGCTCGTCCTCCTTCGCCGCCAGCAGCCCCAGCCTCGGCCGCAGCCGCCGCAGCAGCCTCAGCCGCCGCCAGCACCGCGCCAGCGCGGCGCACTGAGCCCGCCCGCCCGCCAGCCAGCCAGCCAGCCAGCCAGACAGCCGGCGGCGCAGCCAGCCGGGAGCCGGAGCAGCGGGCGGCGGCCGCGAGGAGGCCCCGGGCGGCGCTGAGGCGGCCCGCGAGCGGCGGGGCCGGGGCCCGGGCGCCCGAGGAGCGCGTCGGGCGCAGCTGCGAGCCGCCGGCAGAGGCGGCCAGGCCGGCGGGCCCCGCGCCCGCGCCCGCGCCGGAGATTCGCGCCTCGCGGCCCCGGCCCCGGCCCCGGCCCCCGCGGCGGCCCCGGCGGCCCCGGCCTCTGCCCGCGCGCCCCCCTCCGCGAGCCCCGGCCCCGCGAGCCTTGGCGTTGGCGTTGGCGGCGCGCGCCGGGGCATGCCCCGCGCCTAGAGCCCGGGGGGCGCGCGGGGGGCGCGCGGGGGGCCCCGGCGGCGGCGGCGGCGGCGGGCGGGGCGCGGGGCGCGTGGATGTGGAGGTGGCGCCGGCCCCGGGCGCGCACCAGCGGCGGGACCCTTACCCCCTCCCCGCGGCAGCCTACCCCTACCGCCCGGGAGGGGGCGAGGGCGAAGCCGCCGGGGCCGTGATTTGCCAGCAGCCGCCGGGGCTCGTTCCCCGGGACCCCGGAGCCGGGGTGGGCCGGGGTCGGGGCCGCGGGCGCCGCCGGGGGGCTCGGGCCGGCGGCGGGGGCGGCGGGGGCGGCCGCGGCTTGGGCCGGGAGCGAGAGCGGGCGCGAGCCCCCGAGCCTCCGGAGCGCACCATGGAGACGGTGGGCCCCGGCCGCAGCAGCTTCCAGCCGCACCCGGGGCTGCAGAAGACCCTGGAGCAGTTCCACCTGAGCTCCATGAGCTCATTGGGCGGCCCGGCCGCCTTCTCGGCGCGCTGGGCGCAGGAGATGTACAAGAAGGAGAGCGCCAAGGAGCCAGGCGCCGCGGCCCCGGGCTCCGAGCAGCAGCAGCCCCCGCAGCCGCCGCAGCCCCCGCAGCCTCTGCAGCCGCAGCAGCCGCAGCAGCCCCCGCCGCCGCCCCCCGTGCTGCACCTGCCCCCCATCCAGCCGCCGCCGCCCGTCATGCCGGGCCCCTTCTTCATGCCCTCGGACCGCTCCACCGAGCGCTGCGAGACCATCCTGGAGGGCGAGACCATCTCGTGCTTCGTGGTGGGCGGCGAGAAGCGCTTGTGCCTGCCGCAGATCCTCAACTCGGTGCTGCGGGACTTCACGCTGCAGCAGATCAACTCGGTGTGCGACGAGCTGCACATCTACTGCTCGCGCTGCACCGCGGACCAGCTGGAGATCCTCAAAGTCATGGGCATCCTGCCCTTCTCGGCGCCCTCGTGCGGGCTCATCACCAAGACGGACGCCGAGCGCCTCTGCAACGCCCTGCTCTACGGCGGCGCCTACCCGCCGCACTGCAAGAAAGAGTTCGCCAGCGCCCTGGAGCTCGAGCTCACCGAGAAGAGCTTCAGGGTGTACCACGAGTGCTTCGGCAAGTGTAAGGGGCTGCTCGTGCCCGAGCTCTACGTGAACCCCAGCGCCGCCTGCATCCAGTGCCTGGACTGCCGCCTCATGTACCCCCCGCACAAGTTCGTGGTGCACTCGCACAAGGCCCTGGAGAATAGGACTTGCCACTGGGGCTTCGACTCGGCCAACTGGAGGGCCTACATCCTCCTAAGCCAGGATTACACTGGGAAAGAGGAGAAAGCCAGGCTGGGCCAGTGCCTGGACGACGTGAAAGAAAAGTTCGACTATGGCAACAAATACAAGAGGAAAGCACCCAGGGTTAGTGTCTGCTTGTCGTCACCTCCTCCATTCCCAGGCCTCGGCCAAAGTCCTGCTAAAGGGCTCCCATACCCTCCTCCCCCCACCTGCTGGGGAACACTCCCTCGTGCTGAGCGTAGTTTAGCCAGAAGCTTGCAAAGGGTTAGTCCCAATGTGACTGGGTGCCCGTACGGTGATGCTCGCAGACAGGCAACGGGGAAAAGTCCCACCCAGAACGTTTTAAAACCCCGTTAGGTCACTTAACCCTTGCTTCGTTGTTTTGGGCCTCTCGGTTACTCAATTTGATTTCAGGTCACTTTTAAGATTATGTCGCCCCCCCCCCCTCCGTAGTGATAGGACCCATGCAAGTCTAGAAAGAGTATTGTTCATTTCAGTATTCAGTTCTCAGTCTTGGATATGAAATTCAGCTCTTCTCTGGCCTTCCTCTTAAGCCACATTAGCTACTCCCAGTATCTTCTTCCCCCTCCCCCTCTCCCCCCACCCTTGGTGGTCAGTTTGTTAAAAATTCTACAGCCTTGTGTGGGTAAAATGCATAATGCATTAAATGTAAATACTTTCCCAGGTTACTTAGCAATTGCAAAGATAAACGGGGGTGGGGGGTGGGAAACCTCTCCATAGACATATAGAATTTTTAAAAACATGCAACGACAAACATTGAAAAATTAAAATCAGTCAGACCTTGTCAAATAAAGAGGTATGTGAGGTGGAAGAGACTGTATATAACTCATTCTTAGTGGTGCCCGCTGTGATTGACTTTTTAGTCTTAGACATTTTAGAAAGATTGGATTTTGTATGAGTGATTGTGCGTTTGTAGTAGGGAGAAGGGCAGCTATCACATCTCTCCAGATAGCTAAGACCCATGAATTTGGGGGCTTCTTTCACTAGGTTCTGCAGTTAACCCTTCCTTTTCAAAGGTGGAGAAACGGCACGTATGGCAGGTGCTGTGTCCAAGGTTGCATAGGAGTCAGTAGCAGAGCCAGACTTCCAGACTCCTGACTCCAGTTATGGACTCTGTTAGTCTGCGGGGCCTGTCTGCCAGTATGTGGATCCCAGCATTCCCTCCCTGTGTGGGGAGAGAGGTCTGTTTGGCACCTGGCAGCGGTCCTAATCAGTGGGCACCAAAGCCATCGGCTCCAGGAGCTCCCGAGTCCCATCACAATGTCTGAATAACCGATGGGCTGGCCATTTGTTTTGAACTAAAAGTATTTCATTCCCTCCCTCCCTTTCTCTCCGAAATACAGAAAAGAGTGATACTGAAAGCCTTCTGGACAATACAGCTCTGTTGTTTGCTGAGGGTTGGAGTATTTGTGTGATCCTGCAGGAGTCTTGGGTCGTGGCAGATCTGGAGACCCATTAGACACTTGACTATTCACTGAGATTCTCATTAACTTTTCAATGCAACCTTCACACTCCCTCCCCACCCTCAAGTATTTGTAACTTTTCTTTTAAGGATCCAGGCTTATTAAATTGCACATAGAAAATGCTGCCTTTGCGCTCGGCTATTCTTGGGAGGCCTAATTAATTCAGCTATTGCATCAAACTTTTTTTTTCTTCTAAATCTGTGAATAGATTCTCCACCCCAGTTTCTCCGGGAGTTCCTCCAGTTTGAGTGTCAGAGCCATTGTAGGAGGGCTGCTGTAATGAGGCAAATTATCTCTTCTAGTTGGAGGTGATGTGTTTTTAATGGTTTGTCTATCCTTAGCTAATCAGGCACTTACCCCAGTGGCAGGTTTCGATTGACCTGTGTGTGTGTGTCCCTGTATTTGGGGAGAAAATGGGGTGCCCAATAGAAGCTCGAGGAGGAGGAGTGCAGGAATTGAGGTGGGAAACCTGTTTGTGTGGAAGACTATTTAGCTGAACTCAGGACTGATTGTCACTTTCAGGAGTGGGATAAGTTTCAGAAATGCAGTTGGCTGCAGCTGGTTGGGTGTTCATATGGCTCCATGTAAACATTTCCTGCCTCGACGTAGGCTTGGGTGTTCAGGGGTTGAAATTAGCCCCCTTTTTAAGCTTCCTTTTCTCCTTGGCTTTCTCCCTCCTGAGAAGCCACCAGCAGTCCCTAAGTCCGGGCTGTCTGTCGTTGTAGTTTGCAGATAATTGTGGATGTATTCAAATAGGCTCTCGTGCTGGTAGACTACTGCCCGAGGCAAATAACACTGGAATAATTTTTAGGTCAACGAGCCCACGGCTTCTAGAAAGGAGGCTCTTTTGTGAGAAGAGGGTGTGTGAGATTTTTGCATATTTGTCTGAATGTGGGTTTGTATGTATGTTTGTGGTGTTTCTTTTTTCCTTCGGTTGGTTTGGTCTAGGACTGTGGTACAGAGTTTGGGTCCCAAGCAGGACTCAGTTGGTAAAAGCCACATATTTCAGGAGGTTGGGGTTGGTGTAGCTCATACTCGGGTTTTACCCCACTGGGTGCTGATATTTTTTGCTAGTTTCTAAGCTACTAGTAAGCTAGCGAATACCATGCCCCTACCTGCTCTCAAGACACTGACAGTCACCTCAGACTTGAGAATAGTAACAGCTCTGAAGGGGCACATCAGGGAAGTTTACCTTCCCATACCAGGCAACATAGAGTAAGCAGAGTAGGCCCACGAGGGGATCTTTCAGGGGTTTCAAAAACTAGTGGAGGCCCTTTTCCTAGGTCTTATCTCATATACTGATTCCTCAGCCTTTGTATTTCTCCCCTCCTAGCTCTTCTCTTAGCTCTCGATTTTTCCCGACCTTCCTCTAGCACAAGATAAGTTTGCCTTTTTCCCTGGGTTGAGATCCTCGAAGGTGGGGGGAAGGGAGAGCCCTGTATAATGGGGAAAGGCCACATTTTGTAGGAGGTGAGGGCTGGCTTTAACATTAGTCTCTTCCTGATCCTGGGCCAGTTATGGGACCCTCTCTGAGCCTCAGTTTCTTCTTCTGGAAAATGGTAAATAATGCCTGTAGTATTTAACTTCACAGAATTCTTGTGAATGAGATTATTAGGTAAAGCCTGAAAGAAAAAAAAAGCACTGTGTAAATAAATGCTAGCTTTGATTATTTTCCCTCTCACAGTTTCATAGCCACCTCACTTCATCTCTACCCAGCTTTACCTCGGTGTCCTCAGTTCTCGTAGGCCGAGGCCTTGCTCGGCTCTGCCCTGGTTTCCTCTGAATATTGATGTTTTTCTCTCCCTGCCCGCCCCTTTCCTTTCCCCCACCACAGGTTTTTCCTCTCACTGTGTCTGGGCACCACAGTTTGAAGCTGGGGAGTAGTGTCAGCAGGGTCCCACCCAGCAGGACTGCCGGTTGTCCTCTGGTCCCCCCAGGCAGTGTGAGCCATTTTGGTGTGTCTGCACTCTGATCCAAGACAGATTCTTTGTTTGCCCCAGGGAGCCCTAACCCTTGGACCCCCATAGGCGAGCTGCCTGGGCACTGGGTGACTCTGATTCCAGCTCCTTCCTGGGAGGGCTCGGCAGCTGTCACTCTAACCAAACCCACTTGTCCTTTGTTGGCTTGTTTTATTAGAGTGTTCTACCTTTATTTCCTTCCCTCCCTGTGGTGTTTTATGTATTTTAAAATGATTTTAAATCACCAAGAGGAAAAGAGAAGGAAACAATGTATTGTAAATGTATCAGCTTGTTAGAACTTTCAGTGGGACTTTATCATTGACCTGCCAATCAACAAACATTTGTTAACTACCTACTAAGTGCCAGGTCTTACTCATTTCTTGGAAATAGGAGTCAATCGAAAGTGCATTCAAAACATTTATTTGCCAGCCAGTGAGCACACCCAGGGGCCATCCCAGTGGAAAGCTACTATCATCCCTTCCACACCTCCAGCCCCCCCCCCCCAGCCAAACTGTGTAGCTGCCAGTGTCATGGATAGAAGCAGCTTTTGTTTGACCCAGGTGTGTGTGCTGAATCCCATAAGGGGGACCTGTGTGAAGGCGGTTACATTTATTGGTGAGTCCCTGAAAAGATGAATGAAGGGGCAGAGACCCCTCTTTTATTAGCCAGTGGTGGAAACTGGGGCTCCTGTTGGTCAGCTAGTGCCACAGTTTGCAACCCCAACCTGTGCTTTGCAAATTTTTAAAGGGAGTTAAAATCCTTCCATTTGTCCAGAAGCAAATATCAGCAGGTTTTTTTTTTCAGGCCTGGAAATTGAGTCACTAATCTTAATGTGGGATGCCTTCTCTGGTGGTTGTTAAAATGAAAAATGTGTAGGAGGTCAGAAAACCACAAACTTAGATGGCTCTTCTTTCCATCTTGGGAGCAGGTCCTTGATTTACCAGCCCCTGCAGCTCAATTGACTTTCCAGGGCACAGGAGGCTTGGACTCCTACCTTTTTCCCTTTCTTCCCTTTGGAACGGCTCCTACAGCTGTAGGTGGGAAAGGGGAGAGAAGTAATTTTCTCTCCCTTCCTGTGTGTTCCTATTCTGTAATTTCCCAAGTCCTAGGTGGGGTGAGGAGGTTAATACTTAAGCAGTGAAGAATGTTTGTGGGTGGGTTATGGGGGAGGGGGAAGAGGCTCTTCTCAGACCCCCTGACTCTCTTAGGGGTTTTACTTGTGGTCAAGAGGGAAGTCGTTCTAGGACTCAGGTCAGTCCCTCTCGATTCCGTTCACCCGTACCAGGCTGGTGTCTTTTCTCTTGCTGATTGAGTAGCAGAATTTGACTTTGGAGTTTTTAGCACAAGAAGTGCTGTCTTTTAAATAGGGACACAGGTTTGCCCAGAGAGTGGAAATTCATGCTGCTGCCTTGGCCCAGTGCCTTTGAATCTGTCTCAGAAGCCCACTGGGTCCCTGACAGTGTCACAGGGTGCTACCACTTTTCTGATGGCGACGGGGGGAGTTGTGTGTGGCCTGTATCTCCAACTTTGAGGTTTGAACTATTTTCTGTCTTCCTATGGCAGGAATACATTGTCTGGTAATTCAAGAGACAGGAAATAGTCATTGTCTCTTATGACTTAAGCGTTCTTTGTAGTAGAAATATTTAGTAGAATTTGTGATGGTTTATTTTAACTGCGTACA